AATTAATATTTTGCAAACCAGAACACGTTTCTACAGGCTTCACCGAGCCGCGTAGAGCAGACACAAGTACTTGTGAAAACACTCTGAAGAAGTTTGTTATGTTTAAGAATAAAATTATTCAAACAGGAAATTTTTTTTTTTTCTGTTTTAATAGCAACTGTCCTGCTTTTAGACGTGGTTTCTATCCTTCCTCCCCCCACCCCTTTCCTTTTGGCACCCTCCTACCTAAAATACTCTAATTAGAGTGGTGATGGAGTCTCTAGCAAAAAAATTGTATTTAAAAAATCTGGTCCAGCATGAAGTCACCACTTTTTCTTTTTTCTGAGCCCTGCTGAGTCTAGTCATAACTCGATTTCTGGTGACTAATAGAAGAGCTGGGACACTATTGTTTCTTTTGGCTTCTTGAGCAACTCTCTCCCATTACCTCCCCTCGTCTGGGGCCGAGATCTAAAGCTATAAGATGTGCTCGAGCTGAGGAAGAGGCTGAAGCGCTAATTGCTCTTTTGTGCCGTGCCTTGGTTTGTGTTGTTTGGGGTTTTTTGAACTGGATTTCTTTTCAGAGCGCGTTTTTTCTTTAGAAACTAAAGAGGGTAGTGAAGTTTCAGCCGATGTAGCAAACGGGGCGAGTCCCGAGCCAATGTCGTGGTGGTGACCTCCATCTCCCAGCAGAGGTGGCTCAGCCCCCCATCACCTGCAGGGCCGTGGGAGCCGACGTGCCCCAGCACCGCGCCGGAGCGACTGATGGGACCGCGGCAGGGTCCACTCCGGCTGAAGCATTCTTGGCTCCGTCGCTTTTCCCCATCCGTAGCGAGTGATCTCACTTGCCAAGTATTGCAGTTATTGGGAGATAAATATTTCTTGGGGGCACCCAGCTTTGGCTGCAGCCTCGCTATTCACAGGAGGCGTGCAGTTTGTAAAATAGCTGCATGAAATATTGCCTGCTATTTCTTTTTCAATATGTTCTCCTCCTTTCTAGACTTAACATGTTGGACTAGCAAGAGCCTTAGGGGCACTTAACTGGTCTTTTGTGGTTTATTTCCTTTAAAATGGATTAAGGAGGACATGTTCCTCTGACAAGAAGGAATCAGGACAGCTGCGTAGAGTGAGAACGTTAAGCAAATCATTAACAGGATTGCTGTAGAATACAGCCTGAACAGCAAGGCGTAGGGGCAAGCATAAAGAGCGCCATGGATGGAGTTTGCATCCCTTGTCTCCCACTGGCAGGATCTGTGATTCGCTCCTGACTGCTGCTGTGGGCAGGAGGAGGCAGAGGGACAATCCCTCCTCCCTGTAAAAGCTCTTTGCATCGCTGTCAGGTTCCCTCTCCGGCACGTGCCGGGGACGCGGGAGGAGAGCAGGAGGGAGCAGTTCCTGCCGTGGAAGGTGTTCGTTCACGTTGCACCAAAGCGTGAGCTCGGTGTAGCCGACTTGAAGACATGGAGTTGGAGCTGGACGTGGAGCTGGAGAGCAGAGAATACCTGGCTGGCTGTGGGTGGCCTTCGTACGAGAGCCGTGTTCATCC